TGGAAAAAATTGTAACATTGTTACCAGAGGAAGGGTGAGGGAGTTCCCACAGGTTCTTGAGATCTGCAGAGGTGAAAACCATTTCAAGGTGTCTCACAAGGAGGAGTCTCACAAGGTGGAAGTTTTAGTAAGGATTTATCTTAGCACAACAGGATAAAGTAGGGTGAAGTAGGAGAAATGGAGAAACACTTCCTGCTTCCCATGCAGGAATTGGCAGTAAAGATGCCAAATGTCTTAGACTTTCTGAGCTGGGAGAATACCTGGTCACGTCCAGCACCTTCTAATCATTAAGACTATGGATGTGGGTGGCTAAAACATGGACATGTCATTAGGTCCACCCAAAACACAGGACAATGGGAAGGAGTTTTAGGACTTCCCTTTTTGACAGATACACCTTTCGTTCTTTCTCTCTCCTCCGAGGAGCTTGCAGCTTGTTTACATCTCTAAGAGGAAGGTAGATGCTAGTTGCCCCTCTATGTCTCTCTGTTCCTGTAACTTCTCATCTAAAAGGGGTGGGAGCTCGCTGCTCTAGCTTTTCAGTTTTACTTCCTCATTCCAGTGTCTGAGTCTGGCTCCTTTTATGTTTGTTAATGTAATGTGATTTCCCTATCTCCTCATCTGTCTTTCCTGCCTCCACATTACAGTTGCAGGTGTCTTTTGCCATTATTGCCTTTTATCCTTAGGTCCTTTGATCACTCCATTTCTTAGAGTGATGAAGATGTTCTGAGATTGACAGTGGTGATAGTTGCACAGCTCTGAGTATACAAAATACAGTCGAACTGTTGAGATGCAAATGGTGAAATTTATATGTGACTTGTATCTCAATGGAACTCTAACAGTGCTTGCTCACTTTTTCCTTCTGCTGATAATATATAGTTGGAGCTTAACAAAGGGTGCTCTTTTCTTTCCTGGAAAATCTGTAGGAAATTCTCCTGATAGCCTTGGTGGACAGTGTTTCTAGAAACCCAGCCATGAATTTAGTTTCTTGGCCCCAAACTCTGCCACCTTGTTACTGCTCATGTGTTCCCCTACCCAGCCTCTGACACCCTCCAGAACAAGCTGAGTGACCCTGCAGCCTCTCCAGACAGGTCTTCTGCTAGAAGATGCTCACAAGAAGGAGACAATTTGGTTTGCAAGTTGACTCTCCTCTCCTTGCCCTGGCCCAGTCTGAAGATAAAGAGCTGTAAAGGTTATGGCAAGTAGAAGAGTTTTTCCAGTGATGTGTGCCCAAGGAGAGGGCAGCGTGCAGCTTCTTATCCAGGTTGAGGTAACAGAGGCATGGCCACATGTTCCACTCCCCATTTCTCCTGCCATACACATTTATAAGGGTTACATGAGCCAGGCAGGGGTGTGAGGTGACCAGCTGGTCTCTCTCTGCCTCCAGGAGCTCATGGTCTGGTAGGGATTGTTAACGAGAACAGTGTAGTCTGTGATCAGAAGATCTCCAAATTCTTTACGTCCCATGTGTAAGAATCCATGGCAGAACACAGGGGTATAAATGGAGTTTATTAAAACTTAGGGAGGGGAAATACAAAAGATATCATGGTGGGAGCAGGTATAACCTGCAAGCAGAGAGAGCTCTTCTCCAGTGCTTTTAAAACTTAAGCTGACGTATGGGAAGAGATGATGATTCCTAACCAGTAATTGATGAGGGATGGTATGGGTGGTCCCGTGGATGGTTTTACTTGCTCCTGAGCTAGGGTGTGAATCACCTGCACACATTTGCAATTGAAAAGAAGGTTCAGAGAAAGAGGAATGTTCAATCTGAAATAGAATATTGAAAAATCAGTATATTTATATTTTCTAAGAGTCCTGAACTCTCCCTAATTCTAGCCTGCCTCAGGATGACAGGTGATTCCTGGGCACATGATCCCATGGGGTCCACCCCTAACCCGGTCCTGCCAGTAGGGTCAGAGACAAGCCTGCCAGAGCCTCTAGCAGGATGACATTGTTATGTCTAAGGGTGGTCTAAGGATACCCTGGTCAAGAAGATCTCAGGTCCTTGTGTTACCAGATGGGTGGCCTGAGGAGACTCTGATCAGAAGATTTCAGTACCTGCATCTCTAAGAGAAGAATTAGGCAGAATGAGAAAATGTGGAGAAAGTGACAGTAAATATATTGAAGGTGAGGGGAAGACACTGCAAGAGAAAGTACTGGTGGGCCTGGCCAGGTGGGATAGCAGTGCCCATCTCACTTTAACGAGTCTGCACACAGAAATGGTAATGTCAAGAAGAATCTGGGCATCTTTGCAGTATGGGCCAGGGTGATTGACAGGTTTGACTGACAAGGTCTTGTCATACAACACAGGTATTTTAATTACATGTGTGAGGGGTGATCAATATTCATGTTTTAAGCTGAGGGCTTTTACCTGAGAGGTAATTGAGGGTGCAATTTCCCCAAGGCTTCCTGTCTTTGGGGAAACTTACAACTGCAAAGGATTCACAAATAAAAAGAAATTTACAACTGCAAAGGATAGCATTGGACTGAGATCATGAATTTAGCATAAAACACACTGGGAAAAGCCTCATGGCACCTGCCAGAGTCCCATGGCTTTTTCCTGTCACTAGCTTGTCTCACTTCTGTCTCTCAAACAGAGAACTGGACAGAGACACAGATTGCAAATCAGTAGCAAAGTTTTATTGAAAGAAAAAGGAAAGACTAGGCACTACAAAAGAAAGAGCTGTGGACCCTGGCCAGGTGGCACAGAAGTACTGATCTTTGTTCAAAAGGTAATTTATGAATTGTAAGGGCAAATGGCAGGAAAACTCTGGGCAGTCTTTGCAGGAGTGGCTAGAGTGACTGACAGGTTTCATTGACAAAGTCTTGTTATGTAACATGAACACATGTGCTTATGCTGACTCCCAAGTCTTTAATTATATGTATGCAATGCAACCAGTATTCATAAGGTCTTAGGTAGAGGGTTTCACCTGAGAGGTCAGAGTGAGAACACATTGCTCTTTACCAAGCATGTGACAGAACCAGCCAGTAGACTCCCTTGTCTTTTGGGGAAATTACATCTGCAAAGGAACTTAAAATTGAAAAGGAGTTTACAACTGAGGGGATGCTTGATGTCGGGATGTCTTAGGGTGGTACTGGGTGGGAACAAGGAGAAATTCAGCATGTGGGGTTGGAGTCCCACGTGGGTTTCTTCTTTCCCTGTCACAAGCCTGTCTCAGCATGAAGGAGGAAACACTCCCAGACCTTGCTCTAGGGCTTTGGAATCTGCACTGTTAGTGTCCCCAGGAGACATTTTCTATCTGGCTATTTATAGGAAGTCTGCAGACTCATGATCCAAGGGCTAAAGTTTGGGCATTGTGGAATTTATTGAATGCTCAGGTTCTGGCCCCACCTCACAACTGTCTCAGAAAGACTGGGTGGCCCCAGCCTCTCTGAAATGCACGCTTCCTGATCGAGCCCTTGTTTCCTGAGCTCTCGGAAAGAACTTCCTTCAGTCTAGGCCTTCCCAAACTTAATTTGTGTTTGACCTTCATGATTTCTGCCATAGCCATAAGCTACCGGACTCTTTTCCCCCTCTCCAATGTTCTCCTTCCCCACTAAATCTTTTTATATGAATAAATTTGTTTTAGAAGAAATTTTTATTGTAGTCAATGGAGAACTAGTTTCACTTGTCATAATGAAGGTAAGTATAAAAATACCAATCACACACACACACAAAATAGTTTATGGTTGTCCACCCACTGGGGCTCCAAGGCCGAGGGCTGTGGACTTTCCCTTACAAAGGGAGCTTAGCTCACACTGGTAAGCGTAAGGACATATTAGATGCCAGGAGACCTTGTCTTGAGACAAATGGAAAGGATATGGGAAACTGAAAAGAAAATGGCTATTTCATAAGAGGGGTCTATTAGCTTTCACCCAGGCTGCCACCTCCCATCACTGGTGGGCTCTAGGAGGGTGGACCCACTGGTGAGGACTCTGGTTTAGGCACTTGGATGGTCCTCTTGACCCTCCTGTGGAGCCTCACTCTCATCCTCTGTCCCCAGGTTTAGGACTGTTTGATCCAGCCTCCAATCCCATGTTTACCTGTCCCTTCTGGCATGAAGTATGCACTCCACACAGTCTGTGAGTTGCTGCCTCCCTCATAGCTGTTACTTGACAGTGTAGATGTTACTATTTCCTGACACAGATGGAGACACTTTCAGGCAGGCTAAGTGACAGACCAAGACCACACAGTGGGTAGGAAGACTGGGATTAGAACCAGTGTTTTGTGTGTGTCCCATCCCAAGCCAGTGTTTAAAGATACTGCAAAGATTACAAGATATATTTTAAACATGTAAGAAAGCATAGAGATGCATACTTACTCATGTGAACATCGCCCAGGGGACCAAATCCTAAAGGTTTGCTCATGTTGGGTTTGGAATCATTGGAGGCTGGCGTGAACGTTTGTCATCCAGGTTGTCGTGTTACATAGAACAGACCTCCAAGCACATGTAGTATTTTATTTTGCATGTTGTAGGTGGTGGTATATGGGATGTACAGTCTATAACTTGCTAGTCTTGATTCAATGCTGTATTTCTGAACTTTGTCCACACCGATATGTGCATTTTAGGTGGCTCTTTTTACTTGCTCTTGGAGATCCCATTGGATGTATACATAACAGAGTCATCCACTTCCTGCTGGGAGGACACTGGGGTCACTTTTTTATACCTCCTTCCCTTCTACAAAGAGTGCTGCTGCAAATCTCCCATGAACCTGGGTGAGGACTTCTTGGGTCTCACCTGGGAGGGTGAAAGGGGATTTCTACTCACCCCTTTACCAACTCAGTGGTGTCAAACATTTCTCAAGGGCTTGCCACCAGAATGCAGCCAACAGCAGCACCTCTGTGTCAGGCTGTCAGCACTGACTGTCTTGAATTTTTGCCCATGTAGGAGTGTGAACGTGACTAAAATGTGTTCATCTCTGAATCCTAATGAGGTTGAGCGCCTTTCCCTTTGTTTGATGACCACTCAACTTTCCCTTTCTGTGAAATTCTTACCTGTGGCCTATTGTCTGTGCTTTTTTTTTTTTTTTGTTATAGATCTGTAGACATTATGTGTCCTGTGCCTGGACTAAGTCTATAGGACATGTTCTCATGTTTCTGCTTCCCTTGACCTCAGCTGTACAGGTTTTGTCCCAAGCAACTCCTGCAGGTGTGCTCCCTGGTGCTAAGGGAGGTTGTATCCACCTGGTGTCAGGACCAGTCCACTTCTTGGTCACAGGACCGACTGATGTTCTACCTGGCCACAACGGGGAGCAGCTGCCCTATTGACGGTTGCATCTCAAGTGCTGCGCTGGTCATTTAGGAATGCCCACTTGAGGCAGTCACCAGGGAAGCAGGCCTGGGCATGCGTCACAGGAGGGCTTGTCCTGGACAGCAGAGTGTTAGCACCAGGAAAAAGGGAGTGTTGCTTGGGCAGAATAAGACCAGCAGATGGTGATGGGGAAGGTGTGAAGTAAGTGAGGGGTCCCTGCTCCCTAGGTCTGCACCATCAGCCTGTCTTGACCTGAGAGCCTGTCAGCATTCTTGGCATGCAGGTATTCTTACCTTCTTGAGGGCCAGTGCTGGATTCCCACACAAGGTTCAAGTCTGCATTTATTCCAGTGACTGTTGGGTTTTCCTGCTCATGGCCTTACCATTCTCCAGGTTCTCAGTTTTAAATGAACCAGGGAAGACTCCCAGCCGGTGATCCTCTCCCCCAAAGATCCTAGTGTCCTTGAGTCTGGAATCAGCTCCACTCAGTTCTCACCTGCTGGCAGCCTGCTTCCATCCAACCTGCAGATGGACTGTTGGCTGGCCGGGGGGAGCCAGCCGGTGTCAATCCCTGACAAGGTACCCTGGTGGGGTGAGTCTGAGCAGACAGCCAGGGCAGCAGAGCAAGGATGCTGCCAGGCTACCTGCTCCTTCAGATGCCTGAGCTCCAGGACAATCTAGGAACAAGTATGGCTTCATTATAAAAGCAAGCAGTGTAGCCAGGTGCCAGTGGTGGATGGAATTTGCAGTAAACATGCAAATGTTGGGCGAACTCAGAGACTTACTTGAGAAATGCCAGAGAAGTGGCATTGCAAACCGTCAGCAGGTTCAGGCCGCGTGGAACTTGCCCTGCTGCAATGATGACAGCCTCATCACCAGACCAGGGGCCAGGACTGGCTGGGCCTGGACCTCCCAGGTGGTGAGGATGATGAATGTGCTTCCAAGAGAACGAGGTTTGGGGAGGCTGTCAGTCAGGAAATCGTGGGCTGCAGGTGGCTCGAGGTGGCCAGAACAAAAAGTACAGTTATTGTAACAGTTAGCAAGTGTTTAATCCTATGACATCAGCCAGAACTAGGTTCTTCCTGTCCAGTCCCCCTCTGACCTTCTGAATGGACTGCAGCCCCACACCTGCCCCACGCCACCCCTGGGTCATAGGCCAGTCAGTGTCCAGAGGATAGGTGACTCAGACTCGTAGAAAGCAGCTCCTCTCAGCCCCTTGCAACAGCTTTTCCCAGGCCCTCTGCAGCTTCCCGACATGCTTCTGGCCAGGACTTTGCCACATGGCCATGTGCACTAAACACTGGCAAGAGGCCTAGGGTCATGGTTTACACTGGGACATGTGCCTTTCTCTGAAAACCAGGACAAGCGGGGGACAGCTGTAGGGAGCACCCATCTAAGCCCACTGGGTCTGCTAGAGCAGGCCAAGTAATAGGCTGACAGCTACCTTGGTGCCTCTCCTCCTGTCCCTTAGTGACCCTGCTGGCCCTGGTGAGGGGCCCAAACCTTCCATAAGAGGCTCTCTTTGAGGAGCACGGGGGTCAGGGGCTGCCCTTGCCAACAGAGGGGGCCGCTTGAGAGATTTCCTAGTCTCTGCTTTTGGCTGACTTGCCCATCTCATTTGGTCAATCTCCTGGCATCCTCCTGCTCTCTGACCCTGGCTCAGGCTTATGTCCTCTGCGGAAGCTGTGCTGGAATGGCTCTTGCAGCACCTCCTGCTGGGCGTCGTGTCTGTTCAGCTAGATGGCTGGGAAGAGGTGTTCTCAAAGGCCTCCTGCTGAAACCCTGTGGCTGGAGCCCAAGGACCCAGCTCCGTGGTCGCTTTGAGGTCGCTTGTGACTAGCCTCATCTCTCCTGAACTTCCACTGTCCCTGAAATGGGTCACCTGTGGCCCCTCCCCCACCTTCCAGACTGCTGCTCTGGCTGGTCACTCCTGGACCTTTCGATGTGCAAAGCACAGGAGCCCTTGTTCAAATGCAACTTACATCAAATTGCAATATGAAAACCAAAATGGCAACAATCTCTTATTAGTAAAAATTTATTTTGTGTTTGCATCGAAAGCATTTGCTCATTGTAAGTCAGCCTGAGAACAATGCTGGCTGTTAAGACAGGGTCCAGGTGCAGCTGATGCTGCGGTCTTATCAGCCCCAGATCCAGATCACTTCCTACTGTGTCCCCCAGCATCAGCAGTCCTGCCACAAAAACAACCACCAGTGAGTAGGAGAGGCTGTGTAAGACCCTTCAGGCAGTGTCGGCTAGGAAAGCACCCCAAAGTTGAGCCTCTGGCCATGCTTATGCGCAGGAAGGCAGCTACGGTTGACTTTAATTTCAAATATGAAAATCAGAAAAAAGGCACCCAGAGCTCAAAATAAGCACTAACGCAAGCAGGCACTCTATTTCACAGAATTAAGCGCGTCTGAATGTTGGGGTTTCTGAATGAGGTCCAAGCTCACTTGTTGGTTCTTCCAGGTGTTGGTCATTTAGCTCCAACTGCTTTTCTCGAGTTAGCAGCAAATCCTGTGCCCCAGGCGGTGTAGCCTGACTGGCTGGAACACCTTGGAGGTCTTTGCCTGGCTTTCCCATGACCTCACCATCAACCACACCCATGGGCTGCTCCCCTCTTTGTTGAGAGGCCCCCCTCTCGGCAGTGCTATTCTTGAGTCCCCAGCAGAACAAGGTTCCTCCATCACCCACACTCTGGGGTCCCATCTACCGTCAGGCTGGGAGCCCCTGAGGGAAGCCCCTGCACCCCCCACTCCCAGCACCAGCACAAGCCACCGCACACAGGCTGCTATGCACACAGTGCCGGCGCCATGGGCTCCCCATTCCCACGCCTGGTTGGCAAGCCGAGCGGGAGCTCCTCTGGCAGCCTTGGCCTCAGTGCTCGCTGCCTTCTTCCACCAGATCTGAGGGGGGCGGGATGAGGTCTCGGGGGTTCATCCTGGCCACCAGGCAGACGTCATAGCTGTCGTGCATGAGGACATTGACGGCGACCACATTCCACTGGTTTTCCCAAGGGTCCAACTCCAGAATTTCTTTGGAGATCACCTCGTGGCGATCTGAAATACAGCACAGTCGGAAGATAAAATATCATGGGGCATTAAGTTCAGAGGTCGTCATCACTGTTTGCAGCCACTTCCTCTACAAGACTCCACACACCAAAATTAATTAACAACCGGCTGAACGAGGGCCCAGTGTTTTGACACTTTGGAAGCCTAGAAAGGCCACACTGCAGCTCATACTAAAAAATTATCAGTGCACAGTGTCTCAAGCTGAGAGGATGTTCCAATGCCACATGGAGATTTAGAACCTATGTGAGTGGAGGGTGAGGCCCCACTGGAGTCATGTGGCCCTGTGCTGGCCGCTGTCCCCCTGGGTTTGTGTCCTACACAGATGCTGGCACTAAGCCAAGGTGCCTGTGGGAGGCAAACAGCACGCAGTCCTCAGTAACAGAACTTAGTAAAGGGACCTTGAGGAGGGGGTGGGTGGGTTGGGGACTTAAGTGTAGAGTGCTTGGTAAATGCCAAGCCCTCAGTTCAAACTCCAGTACCATAAAAAAGAAGGGATTGTCAGTGAGCCAGAATTAGTAACAGCTTAGGGCCCCACAACCCAGCCCTGGAAGGCCAGGGGACAACAGGAGAACTGCCTGGCCAGAGTGGCTCCAGGAAGAGGAAGGGCACAGCCATACTTGGCGGGCAGCAGTGGGGGATAAGGACCCCACCTTTGGTCCTTTATGTGGTCAGGCAGGCAGGAACATGAGAGGAGTCAGGGAGTAGTCCCTCAAGTCCTACAGGCAGGGGACACTGTGTGCCATGTGGGAGATAGCAGAAGGCAGGTGGCAAAAGGCAGGAGAGAGGAAACAGCTGATGCCTTTCCCAAATCAGGTTTCTGCCTTGGATGGTTTTCTCCTGTGGGCAGTACTGGGCTTGATTTACCATTAAGCCACTTCACAGCCCCCAGTTAGATGATTTTTATGTAACATATTTTCTTTTGCTTTCCCATACTTTTTATTTACTGCAAAGTATTTAAATACTTTTTATTGTCTATTCTTAATTTTTGTAAAATCTCAATTTTGTTACTTTTCCCAAAACATTTTCCTATCAGGAAAAGTGTATAAAATGTATCCCTTAAGCTTTTATACAATGACTGTCTTTGTAGATAAAAATGTTAATTTTAAAAACATTTTCTAATCAGGATAAAAATAGATTTTCTCAGAGAAAGGCCCCTTTCACATAAAATAAGCAGGAGGAGTCCAGAAGTTTCACCTCACCAAAACAAGACCCTTACAGCACAACCGGGTAACCATGGTGACAATTAGTTGAGGATCTCAAAACCGCTACCAGGGAGGGTTTGAGATGTTCCAAGCACAAACAAATGCGAGTGAGGGGTCCATTGCCTGATCTGACCTGTACAATGCAGTGGAAATGTCCACTGCACTGGTAAGTATGGACAACTGCTATGTGTCCATTAAAAATACGTATTTTAAAACCCGACTAACCTTTATTGAGGGAACTTTATCCTAATTCCTTTTCTGGCCAGCAGATGGCAGTATTGCAACAGTCATTTCAAACCAAAATTTTATTATTTTATTTTATTCATTTTTCTTTTATTATTCATATGTGCATACAAGGCTTGGTTCATTTCTCCCCCCTGCCCCCACCCCCTCCCTTACCACCCACTCCACCCCTCCCTCTCCCCCCCAATACCCAGCAGAAACTATTTTGCCCTTATTTCTAATTTTGTTATAGAGAGAGTATAAGCATAATAGGAAGGAACAAGGGTTTTTGCTGGTTGAGATAAGGATAGCTATACAGGGCGTTGACTCACATTGATTTCCTGTGCGTGGGTGTTACCTTTTAGGTTAATTCTTTTTGATCTCACCTTTTCTCTAGTACCTGGTCCCCTTTTCCTATTGGCCTCAGTTGCTTTAAAGTATCTGCTTTAGTTTCTCTGCGTTAAGGGCAACAAATGCTAGCTAGTTTTTTAGGTGTCTTACCTATCCTCACCCCTCCCTTGTGTGCTCTCGCTTTTATCATGTGCTCAAAGTCCAATCCCATTGTGTTTGCCCTTGATCTAATGTCCACATATGAGGGAGAACATACGATTTTTTCAAACCAAAATTTTAAATCCAGGCTTATTTATTTGCAGTGCTAGGAATAGGACCCAGTGCCTCACATACACAATGCCCAAGCTCTTAGGTCCCACCCAGCCCTGATCCTTTTATTTTACTTCAAGCTTTCATTAGGTGCTTATTCGCATGTTTACCTGCTGGTCCTGCACCTCCGCTGTGGGCCAGGTGCTCTTTTTGGACAAAGGATCTCATACTAGACAGCCAAGGTTCTGAGTGCCCTGGCTGATGGGCAATGACCCAAGGGAAAGGGAGGCTGGTTGGAGGTGTGGGCAGCAGGGTGGAAAACAGGTGGGCTGAGTCAGCCACATCTCTGTCTGGGATTTTAATCTGGAAATATGAAGAAATGAGGCAGGTACACATTAGCAAGTCAGAAGCCGTTCTGTAGATTCCACAACCCTACATACATCAAGGCCAGGGAGATCAAAATGGGCTGTGTCCAAGTCAGAGTAAAGGAGTAAGCAGAAGCCTTCAGGAGGCAGAAGCCAGATGGGAAAGCACTGAGCCCCGGCCTTGCTCTCTGGAGCCTGGGTTTTTCCAGGGAGCCCAGGACCACTGGCTGAGTGAACAGGAGAGGGCCAGATGGGCCCTCCTCACTTGGCCTGTGCGTAGATTGGGCCTCTGCTGGAGATCCACCTAGATAAAGCATTCTCAGTTTTCTTTCTTTTTTTTTTGGCGGGGGTGGGGAGGGTACTAGGGTTTGAACTCAGGGTTTAGTGCTTGCTAGGCAGGTGCTTTACCACTTGAGCAACTCCACCAGCCCTGTTTTGTGTTGGGTATTTTTAAGATAGGGTTTCACGAACTATTTGCCCAGGCTGGTCCAAAGATGATCTTTCTGATCTCTGCCTCCCAAGTAGCTAGAATTACGGTGTGAGCCACCAGTGCCCGGCAGCGTTATCAGTTTGAAAATAATCAAGGCAAGGATCAGAAGATAGCCAGTCACCAGAGAAGTGAGGGACCCCGAGTGGCTGAGGATCACAGAATGAGTTGTGTGGAACAGGCTCTGGGATCACGGTCCTCAATGATGCATTTGGCGTTCCCGAGACCTGGGCCCCTTTCGGTCTGTTCTGAGGCCAGGTGGGTTATGGTGACTTTCACCCTGGATCCAGACGCCTCCCCATGCTCAAGGAAACTTGAGAGAGTATGTGCTGCTTGCAACCCAAAGCGCTTAACTGAAACAGGACAGATGGACAAGACACATGGCAAGTTCCCATGTACAGAGGGAAGCTGGGCTGACCGAGCCTGAATCCTGGCTCTGCCATGAGGAAACTGGGTGACTTCACTGCTCTGTGCCTTTTTCATCATCTGTAGAGTGGGTCTAATAAGAATGGTACCTGCCTCACAGGACTGATGTAAGGATCACACGAACAACTGCACGTGTGTGAAATGTGAATCCAATGGGAGGTGTCTGTCACATACCAAAGACAGGCTGCTGTGAAGAACAGAGCTGGCCCTCCGTGTCCACTGGCTCCACATCTGTGAGCTCAGCAGCCCTGGATCACAAATATATGAAAAACGAAACTGCATCTGTAATGAACACGGCAGATGTCTTCCTTGTCATTAAACAGTACGGTTTGCATAGTGGTTACAATGTAGGTGGGGTCACAGTCCAGAGATGTCAGAAGTATGTGATGACACACCTAGGCTCAGTGCAAATACTGCTACTTCACATATGCGAATTGAGCGTGGGAGGATTTCAGCACCCACAGGGGGCCTGGACCCAATCCCCTGAGGACAGCATGGAAACACCAGCCTGTTACGAAGAGAAACCTAAATCCACCCGGCTTCTCTTGCCCTCAGCTGACTTAAGGATCACTAATTCTGGAGGTCACACAGTGAGCAGCACATTCTCAGTCCTGCTCTGCTGTAGGGGACACCTGATGTGGGTACCGGGGACCTGGAGGCCATCTTGCTGACTCACTACCCGTGGGGCAGGTCTGGGCTCCTGCGGCAGCTGTAGCAGCTGCAGCACCTGGTGCCCGTCAGCTTCTGGCCCAGCATGGGCTCTGAGGTTCCAAGACAGGAGGTGCAGCCCACAAGGCCAGAGCTTCGACACCACACTGAGGTAAGTGTAGCTCCATTCGGGTTCTGTCTAAGCTTTTTTTTGTGCTTTGGTCACCACTTCCTTCTGGTTTGCTGGATGCTTCTGAGCTCACCATCTTCTCATATCTGAATGAGTTCCAGCACGCCCTCTTCCCCACTGGCTGGCATGGTGTCTTTACCCTGCTAGCATCATGCTTGTCAGTGTAACCAGGTTTCCACAGACTTCTGGAAGCTTTCCACAAGTGGGTTCAGCCATATTTTTGGAATTGGGGTTTGGGGAGAGAAATTCTGTCATTTTTCCCACAGAAGTTCTAGGTTCTCTCTCCTGCGTCTTTGTGATGGACATACATACATAAGAAGAATGGCCTTTGATACCCTAAGAGCTTGTAAATCATTGCTCCTAATTTGCAAAGAGGAGGGATACAGATTTACATAGCAAATCCGAGACAGTCCTGTTTTAAGAGGACGAGAAGCTGGACTCAGTGGTGCTCCTGTGGTCCCAGCTCCTCGGGATGCTGAGGTGGGACGATCATAAGCCCAGCTCAGGGCAGCCTGAGCAACACATTGTGGCCCTCAAAAACCCTTAATATTAAGAAATCAATCGTGGGTGCCGGTGGCTCACACCTGTAATCCTAGCTACTCAGGAGGCAGAGATCAGGAGGATCGTGGTTTGAAGCCAGCCAGGGCAAATAGTTCTTGAGACACTATCTCGAAAGTACCTAATACACACACAAAAAAAAGGGCTGATGGAGTGGCTGAAGGTGAAGGCCCTGAGTTCAACCCCAGTTTCACAAAAAAAAAAAAAGTCACCCATTGACAATAAGAATATTGCCCATGAGGTGGGCATGGTGGCTCATGTCTGTAATCCCAGCTACTTGGGAAGCTAAG